TAGCTGTTGCAATCAGTAGACTTTCTGTTATTTCTCATTCCTGCTCACCATTGTATTTGATAGCTCTGAAACTAGACTGCTCCTGGAATTCTTCTGGGCAAATCACTTACCCACCTCTACTGCAGTCCCAGTCTCATCCTAAGTGTCCTAGGCTACTATTTTCTCATCATTTTATCTCTAAACAGGCTTTTTTCTGTCTAACAGGAATCTGTTGCAATTTCTTAAGGGTTGATATCGCCCTTCCAGTTTCCTTTCTTTTTCAGGTATATTTCTTTATTGTGACTCTTGCATGTAGAAAAAGTAGGTAAATTGCCTGTGCCAAGTTTTCATTTTAAAACTTGAGGGTTTTTTTTTTTTTTAATTTGTATTATGATTTGGGTGAAAGTTTACAGAGTAAATTCATTTTCTGTACAGCAGTTCACATACACTTTCTCTCATGACGGAGACTGCAATCTCCCACAGTGCAACAGCTCCCCTCCCACTACCTCTCCATAGTTACCTCTTCCCTGTGTCCTCCTCTCCCATGCACTCCTGCCTCCGGAGCTATCTCCCTGTGCATAGACAGCCCTTCTTTTCTCCCATGATTGATCTCTCCAAGGAGTGTATCATATGCCTGTCTTTTGTTTGGCTGGAAGCCACAGGAGTGGGTTCAATTCCAGACCTGAAGGGCAGCTAGGAGCTTTAGTCTCAGTGGTTCCACCAGGCTCTATCAGACCAGCAAACCTGGTCCCCCCTTTTTTTTTTTCTTTCATGATTTTGAATTTTGTTCCACATTGTTCTCCACTCTATCCAGGATCTCCAAAGTAGATCCCTTGAGGCTTATTTTTAACTGTTTCCTCCTTCACTGCTTGTGTCATACTGATTACCTGCCTGAAGTTCTGATAACATTTGAATTTACTACCCTTGTCTTGAGTAAAAATATGTGTATTGATCTATGATGCTTAGGATTAGTACTTTCTTGCATAAGATCTTATTGCTTACCTTCTAGCCAGTTTATATCTTTATTTGAATATTTTTACCTCCTGAAATATCAAAGGAACCCATCTTCATTCCTACTCCTTATATTTGCTTACAATCAATCCATCTCCCAAATTATTTCTCAGTCTTCTTTTGGTTTCCCAGAGTCATTAATTTTTAATTTATAGGAAATACTTTAAAGGTGTTCAATCTGTTGGCCCCTGCATGTGTGTGACCATCAGAATTTTCTGAAAAGCTTTCTCTTTGGTTTTAAAAATTTTTAAAACCCATTCATTCTTCTAGTTTTTAACTTTAATGAATTTTGACACATTTTAACAAAGCTACAATTCCTACTCTTTCTGTCACCAGTAGATGGCACTAGGAGTGAAGCATCATCATTTTTTTGTTACTGCGTTTAAGTCGGCCCCTAACTGATGCCTGCTCTGTGCTACCTGACTTTGTGATCCATAGAATTTCTACCAGCTGATATTTGGAAGTAGATCTCCAGACCTTTCTTCATAGTATGTCTTAGTCTGGAAACTCTAGTGAAACCTGTTCAGTATCATAGCATTACTCAGGCTTCCACTGACAGCAGGTGGTGGTTTATGTTCAAGGGACATTGGCTGAGAATCAAATCTCGGTCTCCCACACGGAAAGCAAAAGTTCTACCACCGATTTAACTCTCAGTCATGAGTTTATTTAAGCTAGAATTAAAAGCAAAGCATAGATGGAGATGGTTGATGGTGAGACAGGGGGCAGAGAAAGCTAAGTGCTCGTGATGAAACTTTTATTATAAGCCATGGATGGCACCACAGGTTCAAGGACTACTTCCTTTATTCCAAAGTGAATGGGAGGGCAGCCAGTTAGATGTTTTAAGTATGCAGAAATTTTCTATAACACCTGAAGACATCATTAAATAGAGGTTAGGGGAGGAGAGTTTAGTCCATCTCAGTAGACTTATTTATTATCTATTTTGCATGTGAAAATACATACAACAAACATACACCCATTCGATCATTTTTACATGTACAATTCAGTGACAGTGGTGACACACCACACAGTGCGTCACTTGTCACTATCTCTGTGCATATCGTTCCATCACCGTTAACTTAGACTCTCTCTGCCCCTTGAAGTTCTCGTCTGTGCTTTAGAATGGCTGTTCTCAGTTTGATCTCATATACGTAATTCTTTAAAAGCACTATGCTCAAGGCAAACATTATTAATTGAACTAAGCTGTTGTGTAGTTTAAAGATAACTTCATGGTATTTCTACTACCTATTTGTGTGTACTGCAAAAATGTCCATGTATATAATAGACTAATAGGGCAAAGTTAAGATAACGTCACAGTCACAGCCAAACACCCTAAGGGAGTGAGTCACTGGGCCTATGGGATCAGGACCATGGTTGCATGAGACATAAACCTGAATTGGCATAACATAATACACAGAAACATTGTTCTACATCCTGCTTTGATGAGTAGCGACTGGGGTCTTAAAAGCTTGTCAGTGGCCATCTAAGACAGAAGGATTGATGTATGGAGCAAAGAAGAATGAAGAAAACCATAGACACATGGGAACAATTAGTCCAAGGAACTAGTGGACAATGTGAAACTCAACCTACGTGACCCCAAGACCAGAAGAACTAGATGATGCCTAGCTACCACTGTCAACCATTCAGAAAGGGATCAAAATAGGAGACCTTATATAGAGTGGGAGAAAAAAGTGGAACAAAATACAAAATCATCAAAAAGACCAAGCTTACTGGTTTGATAAAGACTGAAGAAACCCTTGAGATTATGGCCCCTAGTCACTCTCTGGGCCTGGAATTGAACTCACTCCCATGGCTTCCAGCCAAACAATAGACAGGCCTATGAGGTAAACATTTATATCAGGTAGGATAATCTCCTTAGAATAATCATCCATAGGAGATCAGAAGATAGCTCAGAGAGCAGGAATGCATAGGAAAGAAGGATACAGGAAAAAGGTAACTACAGGGAAGAAGTTGAGAAGAGAGCTGTTACCTTATGGGGATCACAATCAATGACATGAAACAAAATATATATGAACTGTTGAATGAAAAATGAATTTGCTCTGTAAACTTTCACCCAAATCACAATTTTAAAAAAAGATAACCGTGGGGATAGCTTCAATTCAAGGTTTAAAAGTTACTTTCAGGCATAGATTCAGGGGTTTCTTAAGTCTCAGTATATCTATCCAGTAAGTGTGATTATCAGTAAATTTTTAGTTGTTCTTGTTGTCATGTGCTGTCGAGTCAGCCCCGACTCATAGCAACCCCTCCTTGGATTTCCAAGGAGGTATCGCTATGGAAGTAGATTGCTCAACCTTCCTTCTGAGGAGTGGCTAGTGGGTTTGAACCGACCAAAAAAACCTCTAAAAAAGAATAAGACATGCAAAGAACGTAGTCAGAAAAGAGAAGATGAAGGTGCCTGGTTGTAAAGCTTGGAAAGATCTGTGCAGGAGAAGTTCCTGAGCAGATACGTAGGTCCATCTGTGCAGATTCTAACTTAGTTGATCGTACCCTATGGAGCACAGTTCTGTTCTTGACATACATGGGGTCACCATAGTCGAAATCGACTTAATGGCAACTGATTTGTTTTGGTTTTGGATGAAATTTGTGAATCCTTTTCCTCCCTGCCCTTCCTTCATTTTAAAGCTTCCCAGGTGGTTTTGAGCTTCAGTCAGGTTTAGAGACCATGAATATAATTATCCATTCCACCTGAGTTTAAATCACTGTCCCAGTTTTTGAGTGATTATTTTTCCATGCTTAACTATGTCCAATGATAAGTGAAATCACTGCCTTCTTAGGTATCCCATTCCATCCTTAAGTACAAAACAAAAAACCAAACCCACTGCCATCGAGTCATTTCCAACTCATAGCCACCCCCATTGGGTTTCCAAGGCGGTAAATCTTTACAGAAGTAGATTGCTTCATCTTTCTTCCATGGAGTGGCTGGTGGATTTAACTACCAACCTTCTAGTTAGCAGTTAAATGCCTTAGGTATTATGCCACCAGAGCTCCTTTCCTTAAGTACAATCTTCCTTAATATCCCTAGGGGACTGATTCTAGACGCCCATGGATACCAAAATCCATGGATGCTCAAGTCTGTTATATATAAAATGTTGTAGTATTTGCATATAATCTACAATCATTCTCCAGTATACTTTAAATTACTTATAATACCTAATATGATGTAAATGTTATGTAAATAGCACATTATGTTCCTTCTTAGCCTTGAGGGTTTGCTTAGACCATTTAGTTGCTTATCCCCTCCCACCTGCCAAATATTCTCAATCCATGGTTGGTTGAATCTGTGGATGCAGAATCTATGAATATGAAGGGCCGACTGTAGGTGGAAAGTTCTTTATGCTAAATGGAAATTTTTCCATGTAATTTCTAGTTTTAGACCCTTGGATCATAAATTTCTTTTCATATAATTGACTTTTCTGAAATTTGAAGACAACTGCTAAGTACTCCCAGTGATCTTTTCTACTTATTAAAACCACAAACCAAACTCACTGCCATCAAGTCGATTCCTATTCATAGTGACCCCCTTTGGGTTTCCAAGGCAGTAAATCTTTATGAAAGTAGATTGCCCAGTCTTGCTTCTGCGGAGTGGCTGGTGGGTTTGAACTGCCAACCTTATGATTAGCAGTCAAATGCCTTAGGCACTATGCCACCAGAGCTTCAGCATCCCTGTTTCCTTCAATCATTTTTTGTTTGTTTAATCGAAATTGTACAGGCTCATAGTTTAAAGCTCTGAATAGTTTTTTTCAGGGTTAAAAATAGCAAATATACTGTTTTTCTTCACATCAATTCCCTCTCTTCAGAGTCAATCACTTTCAATTCTGCATTTTATTTTGACGTTTACCTTAAGATCTCTATGCAAAAAAAAAATGCTTATATTGCTGTTTTTAAATTTTTCTCGACTTTCTTCTTTTCCGACTCACTGTATAAACACCTTCTTAATTTCCTCAAGGAAATATCTTTTAGTAGATGAAACATACTTTGTTTTTGTTTCATAGGTTAAGAGCAGGATTATGTGATCGTTGTGCGGTAACTGAAGAACATATGCGGAAAAAACAGCAAGAGTTCGAAAATATCCGGCAGCAGAATCTTAAACTTATCACAGAGCTTAGTGAGTTTCCTGTCTTCATTTATTAAGTCTTTAAAGCATAATGTCCAGTTTTTGAAACTTTTTAGTAAATTGGTTGCAGTCAAATGGATTGTTTACATATATTTTTTCCTATTTGGGCAAAAGCTCATGTATCCTTTTTTCTCCCCCTTCCTTTTTTGTAGATTTAATCTCATGCTTATTTTATTAAGAAATAAGGATACAAAAAGGTTGTGCAAGTACTGTCCACATTGGCCTTAAAGTTGGTCTCACTGTTAGGAAACAAGAAGCAAATACATTTCCTTTGGATGTGTCCATATTGACTTTGTTGATTTATCTTTATTTCATGTAAATTGATTACTTGGGAAAGATAAATAGAAAGCTATTAATTTAGTGTTCTACAAATATTTGTTCTTTTTACATTTTCATGACATCTGTTTCCAAGTGTACTGTTGTTAGTTTAGTCTTCTTACCTGTTCAATACAGGGTTTTCTTACTTTTTTCTCAGTTGCCTTCTCTTAGCCTTCTTCTCTTCCAACTATTCATTTGTCTTGGTGACATTTACATGGATTCCCATTTTAACAAAACAAAAAACTCACTTCCATCGAGTCAGTTCCAACTCATAGTGACCCTATAGGATACAGTAGAGCTGCCCCATAGGGTTTCCAAGGCTGTAAATCTTTACAGAAGCAGACGTCCTTATCTTTCTCCCACAGAGCAGCTGATGGGTTGGAAACACCCTATAAGCAACTCAAAATGTAATTAATTAAGATCCTTTTCAGACTAATTCTATCTGACTTTTTTTTTTCTTTTCTATTGAGCTATCCTTCTGGTTACTTAAACAAGAATATGTGAATAAAACAAACAAACAAACAAAAAACAAAACTCACTTCCATTGAGTCAATTTTGACTCATAGTGACCCCCATTGGGTTTCTAAGGCTGTAAATCTTTATGGAAGAAGATTGCCCCATCTTCCTTCCATGGAGCAGCTGGTTAGCAACCAAGTGCCTTATCCACCATGCCACCAGAGCTCCTTAAAATATATGAATATATGCTCATTGTTTTAAAAATAGGAAAGATATAGCTTTATTCTTCTCCCACAGGTAACTATTGTTAACAGTCTGATATGTGTCATTCCACTTCCAGATTTTTCTGTATGTCTTCCATGGTTTCCTTCACCACTCCCTTTTTCTTTACTTTTAAATTTTGATGGGATCATACAATACTACCTATTCTGACACTTGCTTTTTCACTTTAGGCTATGTCTTAATATACATGTTAATATAAGTAGGCCTATAGATTCTATGGTATCTGTGTATAGTGTACATGTGTGTATTTAGAAATATAAGTATATTACCAGTGAGGAGAAAATTCTTACATCCCAGTAAATATAGTTGAAATTTACCATCATATTGTCATTAGTACTAAAAATAATCTACAGTGATGTCTACGTATGTAATAAATTTTCAGAAACTTAAACTATTTGAAAAATATATGAAAACTACAAACTAGCAAAAATGTTTGACTAAGTTTTAAGAATTAGGATAGTATTCTTTTTTATGGCTGCATTATATTCTTTAGTATAGATGTACAGGCCCCAGATTACAAATGAGTTCCATTCATATATCTGCCTGTAAGTTGAATTTGTACATAAGTTGAAACAGTTAACTGTTCGTCAAGTGTTTGCCTTAGTATATATAGTGTACTTTTTATGCATAAAAAGCATTAAAGAAACACAGATCCAATAAAAACATCTTTAACATAATAATACAATAATGATAATAATGTTTTGATACATGTCACAAAGCAGTACCTGTTGTTATTATGAACTATTATAAGTACCTAGAATGTTTAATAGAATAGGTTTTACTGGGGTTCATTCTTAACTACAGGCTGTACATAAATCCAACGTTTGTAACCTGGGGACTGACTGTAATGTATTTAAGCTTTCTCATATTGGGATAGCTTAGTTTTTTTATTTGTTTGAGTGTTTAAGATTGTCTATTTCCCTGCAGCTTCCAGGTTTGTGCAAAATGTCTTAATTGATAATATCCAGTCTGGTGGCTGAAGAATGATACCATTTTTAATTTATAGTCTCCTTATTACTATTCAGGTCAAGTATCTTTTCACATGATATTGAGTCTGCATTTATTCTTGGGTGAATGGCTTGTGTTCTTTGCCCAGTTTTCCATTGCCTTATGTCCCTTAGTACTTTTTAATTAATGAAGAGCCCTTTGTCTATTAAGGCAGGATCATTAACCCTTTATTACATATACTGTGCAAATATGTTCTACCTCAGTGTCTGCTGTCTGTTGGCTTTGTTTTAGAAATTCTAATGACAAGCAGAAATTTTGTGTATTGTCTTATTTTTAAAGGGGCATTCTCTACACCAATATTAAGAAAAAATTCTCTCTTTTTTTACACTATATATACACAAATACATTTTTTTTTAATTTTAGATATGTAATTCCTCTGGAATTTTTAGCCTAGAATGTGAAGTAGAAATCTATCATCTTTAGAGTCCTAGGCATTCATCCTCAACCTTGTTACCTCAGTCACAAAAGTGGCTGCTGCTTTTTCAGACCTCATGTTTGCATTTCAGACAATAAGAAGGAAAAAAAGAAAAAAACAAAAAAACTCACTGCCATCGAGTCGGTTCCAAGGTTTCCGAGGCAGTATCTCTATAGAAGTAGATTGCCCAGTCTTCCTTCCAAGGAGTGGCTGGTGGGTTTGAACCACCAGCCTTCTGGTTAGAAGTTAAATGCCTTAAGCACTATGCCACCAGAGCACCTAAGGCTGAGGGGGACATGCCAGCAGAATCTTTTTACTTTAAAATAAAATTTAGCTTTCTTGTAAACCTCACCTATTAACATTTGCTTAAATTTCATTGGCCAGAAACTCCTTCCTGCCCTCTAATTATTGGAAGTGGGCTAGGGATCTGAACGGAGTTGCAGGTGGAGGCTGGGTCAGACCACCAGTACTTTCTGCTATGTGCTGTTGTTTTTGTAGTTTTATAATATGTGTTGATATTTGGTCAAAGGAAAAAAAAAAAAAACTCCCATTTTAAAATATCTTACACATTTACTTTTCAAGATAAATTTTAGAATGAGCTTGTTAAATTCTGTAAAATATCCTGGTGGGAATTTGATGGGGAGTACAGTGTTACAATTTGGGAAGAATAAACAGCTTTATAATAGTACACTAGCCCGTTCTAAAACTTTGATAAGTTTCTACATTTATCCCAGTCTTTTATGTTGTTCGTTTAAAGCTTTATGTTTTCTTCATATAAATTTATACATTTTCTGATAAGTTTATTTCTGGGTATGTTTGTTGTCATTCCAAACAAATATAGGAAAATATATGCAGTTCTTCTATATAAGTATTAAAAAAAAAAAAAAAAAAACCTCACTGCTGTTGAGTCAGATCCAACTCATAGTGACCCCTCTTGGGTTTCCAAGGCAGTATCATTATGGAAGTAGATTGCCCAACTTACCTTCCAAGGAGTGGCTGGAAGGGGTGGGGGGGATACTGATTTTTAAGGCCTTGTATCAGGCTACCTTTCTGACACCTCTCTAATTAGCTCTATTTTACTATGAATTATCTAGGTAAAAAATATCATCTGCAAATAATGACAAGCTTAATTTTTTCTTTCATTTATTTTTACAATTTCTTTTGATTCTGGTTGTTTGCTTGGCATAATGCATTAGCCGATGGCTTTAGAATACTGCTGAATAGTAGTGCTTGATGGAGGAAGGAATGTAGCATTTCACTTTTAAGTGTGCAATCTACCACATAGATAAATGAAATCAAGTTAAAAATATTTCCTTCTGTTCTGGTTACCTAATGCTGCTCTGACAAGAATATACCACAAATGGGATGGCCTTAACAAACAGGAGTTTATTCTCTTTAAAATTTGGAGGCTTTAAGTCCAAGTTCAAAGTGCCAGGCTCTAGAGGCTGGGTGAAAGCCCCTCAACCTCGGGGTCCAGCTCTGCCTCCTGCTCCCACAGCCCACTGGAGCTACAGGCTTTTCTTCACTCAGTCAGCTGCTGGTTGCCGAGGCTGACAAGTCCAAGGTTGACAAGTAAAAAGGCACAGTCCCATTGTTACCAAACCACACAGCAGGCCATTAATTTAAGTCCACTGTAAGTCCCAGGGTTGGCAGAGTATGGCAAGCTGCTGAACAACGACAAGGCTACATTCAGGGTTCAAGCATGCCATTTGCTAGAAACCATTCCCAAAGCTGCTTCTTATATACAGGAAGGAGACCACAGACCCAAAGCATCTACTCAGCTGCTTGTGGTAGATCCCACCATGGAGGTGATTGCCAGTCTCATCATGGGGAATAATTACCACCAGCTACCCAGCCACTCAACCAGCCAAGTTGACACACAAACATAACCACCACACCTTCTATGGCTGTTTTTTGGGGCTTTAATTTATTGTGTTTTAGGTGCAGATTTACAGAGCAGAATTTGTTTTACATTCAACATTTTGTGTACGTTTGGTTTCACTCCCCAGTTACCACCCCCAACCCAAATCAACTCTCCTCTTCTCCCTTCCCAGTAAACCACTACCACCACCCCCTGCCCTGTGCTTTTCATAGTTATGCACTCCTGTGTGTCCTGATTTTCCTCCATGTAAATGTTGCCCCTCTGGTAGCCCGTGCAGGTTGCTCCAAGGGATGTATCTCTATAGAATATGTGGGTGTATCGCCCTAGCTTGAGTGGTCTGCACATACGTCTTATTGAGAGCTAGCCCTTGGAAGTGAGTCTTATCCCAGGCCCATAGAGTAGCCCAGTGCCATAGTCTTGGGGGTCCCACCAGATTCCATCTGACCAGTAATTCTGGTCATTATTATGTTTTTGGATTTTCCACGTTTTTCCTCTCACTGTTTCCAGAATCTCCAGTTTTGATCCCTTCTCAGGTGGTTGGCATTGGTAGCCAGGCACCATTGAGTTCTTTGGGTCTTGAGGTCCATCATGTCCTAGGGCTGATTACTTCCAAATGCCCTTGGGTTTTTG